GCATAACTGACGAAAGAAGGTCGATGAGCTCGTATCAGGATATTTATTATAAATTCAAATTATGTATAATAAACTTTTTTAAAAGTCTCACATCACTTTCTCTAAGTCTGTGCTATTATTGATAAGTACTCATGAAATAGTTGTGTTTTCTTGTTCTGCATCTAAGAAGGATCTCAAGAACTTACAAGATCATGCAGAGCGCTGACCTGTCAAAATGCCCTTTCTGTGCTTTCTCACCTGTACAAAAGCAAAACATCCATACCACTCATTACTCTATACCAGTAATTATAATGCAATGGGAGATAGGACCTACTCCATGGGCTTCAAGGTTTCTCAATGCATTTGGCTGTAATTTACTCACTACCTACTCCGTGTTACATATTGTGCAGGCTTACAACAGAGGGTCAGCAAGACCAGTTTTGCCATCCAGAAGGAGAAAGTCTCCTGGAGGAAGCTCACTTATGAAGAAATTTGGAAAGCTGATAGTGAACTATAGACCGATATTGTAGAGGTCCCAGGGAACCACCATGCTGGTGTTTGAGCTAAGGAATGACTCAGTGGGGATGGTGTTCTAGGGATATTTGGCAAGGATGTGATGGGCAGATGGAATGCAGAGGAGCCTAGAGTAAGCGATGTTATAATCGGTGTGTGGTTACTAAGGACTGCACTGACTGAGAAGGAAGGGAAGAAGAGAAAACATCACACTTTTCAAAGAAATGATGCCCAGAAGTTGATGACTAATGGGATAAGAGAGAGAAAAAAGAAGAGTGAGTCAAAAATGACTCCAAGTTTTAGAATTTTAAGCTTGACTGATTGAGAAATTGGTGATGGCATTAGACCAAGACAGGAGAATTGGGAAGGAAGCCCCAACCTTAAGTTGAGCTGAAGAAACTGAGTCCTTATTGATATGAATGTGTCCTGTACTTTCAGGATTCTACTTTTTTTTTTTTTTTTGAGGTGGAGTCTCACTCTGTCATTGCCCAGGCTGGAGTGCAGTGGCGTAATCTTGGCTCACTGCAACCTCTGCCTCCCAGGTTAAGAGATTCTCCTGCCTCAGTCTTCTGAGTAGCTGGGATTACAGACACACACCACCACCCCCCGCTATTTTTTATATTTTTAGTAGAGACGGGGTTTCGCCATGTTGGTCAGGCTGGTCTTAAACTCCTGACCTCGTGATCCTCCTGCTTCAGCCTCCCAAAGTTCTGGGATTACAGGCATGAGCAACCATGCCCGGCCAGGATTCTATATTTTAATGAGTTCATTTGAAAACCAATTTATGTTGTTAATGGTAGTATGATGGCTACTTGTATGTGTTAACTTCACAGGGTCATGGGATGTCTAGACAGTTGATTAAACATTATTTCTGAGTGTGTCTGTGAAGGTGTTTCTGGATGAGATTAGTATTTGAGTTGGTGAACAGATTAAAGCAGTTGTTCCTCCCCAGTGCGGGTGGATATCATTCCCCTTTGAGGGCCTGAGTAGAACAAAAAGGCAGAGGAAGGCTGAATTCACTCTCTGCCTGACCACTTGAGCTGGGACATTGATCTTTTACCTTTAGTGCTTCTGGTTCTTAGGCCTTCAGACGCAGACCTGAATGTACACCATTGACTTGCTGAGGCTGTTAAACCACATCACTGGTTTTCCTGGGTCTTTAGCTTACAAATGGCATATTGTGGGATGTCTCAGCCTCCATAATTACATGAACCAACACCTTGTAAGACAGAAAGAGAAAGAGAGACAGCGAGAGAGGAAGGAAGGATGGATGGAAAAAAAGGAAGGAAGGTGAAAAAGAAAAAGAAGGAAGGAAGGAAAGAAAGAAAGAAAGAAAAGAAAGAAAGAGAAAGAAAGAAAGAGAAAGAAAGAAAGAAAAAGAAAGAAAGAAAGAAAGGAAGGAAGGAAGGAAGGAAGGAAGGAAGGAAGGAAGGAAGGAAGAGGCACTGGGTGCAGTGGTTCATGCCTGCAGTCCTAGCACTTTGGGAGCCAGGGGTAAGCAGATCACTTGAAGTCAGGAGTTTGAGACCAGCCTGGCCAACATGGCAAAACCCTGTCTCTACTAAAAACACAAAAATTAGCTGGATGTGATGGTGCACACCTGTAATCCCAGCTACTTAGGTGGCCGAGGCAAGAGAATTACTCGAACCTGGGAGGCAGAGGTTGCAAGAAAGAGTCTGTCTATCTATCTATCTATCTATCTATCTATCTATCTATCTATCTATCTATCAACTGTCCTACCAACAGAACAGTTGGTTCTGTTTCTCTGGAGAACTCTAATACAGGTAGCTTTTTTATTTTATTATTAATACATAATTACATCATAGATAAGTAAAAAACAATCTGTAATTGGCTTAGGTTATTCTTCGTAGCTGCCTATGTGAGGAAGTGACAAGGTTTGTGTTTCTGTTTTGGGAGGTGAGTGTAGCAAATAGGCAGATGCATATACCTGTGTAGCATCCATGTTTTTGTCTAGAATGACAAAGGTTCACATCTCTGGTTCTATTCTTATTTTGAGATGGAGGCTTGCTCTGTTGCCCGGGTGGGAGTGCAGTGGCATGATCTCGGCTCACTGAAACCTCTGCCTCCTGGGTTCAAGTGATTCTTGTGCCTCGGCCTCCCAAATACCTGAGATTACAGGCGCACGCCACCACGCCTGGCTAATTTTTGTATTTTTAGTAGAAACGGGGTTTCACCATGTTGCTCAGGGTGGTCTCGAACTCCTGACCTCAGGTGATCCACCTGCCTCGACCTCCCAAAGTGCTGGGATTACAGGTGTGAACCACCGTGCCCGCCGTCTGGTTCTATTCTTGAACCTGAAGAGCTGGAAATTTGGGTGTGGACTGGCTTGTCAAGCTGGAAGGGGAATAAATTGGAATGGGACAAGAGCAACAACTTTGAGCAGCCTATGACTTTTGCCCCAAGAAGTAGTGGCCTGTTCCCAGATTTTAGGCCTGGAATATCCTCGCACCACAAAGCAAAGCCAGAGTGTGGCCCTAAACTGATATCACCGGTAGATATTTGATCTGGGTAATTGAGCTCTCTATTCAGCTTCCAAACCACAGGCTATTCTGGGTTTGCTATGTAATTCTGCAACCCTTTGATGTTAGGGTTGTTCTGATATAATTACAGAGAGGACAAACAATACACAGTTGTGTTTATAACAGTGCAGAATATATTGTTGCTAACTTTTGAGGCCCTTAAATCCAGTAAACTAGGTTCCACCAAAAATACATTAGTCTAGCCTGCTTTCTTTTTTACCAGCACCTACCCTGTCATACAAAATTGTGAATAGCATTTTCAATCCCTTGTAATCTTTGTGTCCTACAATGCTTTCTTTGGGAAACCCCACCTAAGAACAACTTTATTTATTTGTTCTATTAAAATGGTAGTATACCAGGGTGGGTGTCTTCAAAATGTACAGTGATATTGCTTGAAAACTCTGGGGCTAGAGGTTTGTGAGTGACTGCCGAATGCTGTCCTTGAAGTCACTTTAGTAAATAAGTAACGAAGAGTCAGAGTAACCAGTAAGGATGCACATAACTAGGAAGGAAATTCTCCCCTTCTGTTTTTTTTTTTGTTTGTTTTTTAATTAAAAAGTTACATAACCCATTTCATAATTTACCTTGACATTTCGCATTGTCCTTTTTAAATAATGCAAATAGAACTAACTGACTTGTCTCTTCCAAGTGAGGATAATGTTGGGGCATTTCTGAACAATTAATATTATGGTTCTTTCCTGATATTCATGTTAGGAGCTAACGTTATGTATATGGGTGAAAAGTTAATGCTTTGATTTGGATAACTCTCCACCAGCTGAGAAGGGTGATTTGTACATACAACCAAGGGGTAATAAATAGGACACTGAAGGATATGACTGTAACATGCCGATGAACCAGAGAGAAGAAGCAAACATGTAGCAGCACAAATCATACAGTTGGTATATCTATGGGATATGCCATGGCAAAATTATACAAGTGTAATTTATATTACAGAGCTGGAAAAATTCTTATCTTGACACTTGAAAAAACAGTACAAGCCAAACACAGTGGCTCACACCTGTAATCCCAGCACTCTGAGAGGCTGAGGTGGGCGGATCACTTCAGCCCAGGAGTTCAAGACCAGCCTGGCCAACATGACAAAACCCCATCTCTACTAAAAATACAAAAGGTTAGCCAGGTGTGGGTGTGTATACCTGTAGTCCCAGCTACTGAGGAAGCCGAGGTGGGAGAATCACCAGAGCTTGAGAAGTCAAGGCTGCAGTGAGCTGAGGTCATGCCACTGTACTACAGCCTGGGCAATACGAGTGAGACCCTGTTTCCAAAAAAAAAAAAAAATACAATTGAGCAAGTGACTGAGCATCTCAAATTCCCCCCTGAGGAAGCCATGTGGGTTTTCCTCTGCCTTGGACTCTAACGTGTAGCCTTGGACTAATCTCCAGGCCTCAGTTTCCTCAATTAAAATGAGCTGTAGATCCTCCTTCTTCAGTGTTAAAAACATTGAATTACAGTAAGCTGTTATGGGCTGACACGGGTTCCCACAAATTCATATGTTGAAGTCCTAACACCCAGTACTTCAAAATGTGACCGTATTTGAAGATAGAGTCTTTAAAGAGTTAATTAGGTTAATGAGTCATTAGCCCTAATCTAATATGATAGGCTTCTTTACAAGAAGAGAAGAAGATTAGGAAACAGACAGAGGGAAGACCATTTGAAGACACAGGGAAAAGACTCAAGCCCAAGAGAGAGGCTTCAGAAGAACCCACCGTATGAACACCTTGATCTCCGGTATCTAGGCCTCCGATTGTGGAAAATAAAGTTCTGTTGTTTAAACAACCCTGTCTGTGGTACTTTGTTATGGGAGTCTGTGATAATCAATTTTATCTGTCAACTTAGCTGGGTCACAGTATTTAGATATTTAGTCAAACCTTATTCTGGATGTTTCTGTGAAGGTGTTTGTTGAATGAGATTAACATTTAATCAATGGACTTTGAGTAAAGCAGATGACCCTCCAAAATGTGGTTGAACCTTATTCAATCTGTTGAAGTCCTTAAGAAAATAAGAACTGACCTCCCCTGAGTAAGAAGAAATTCTGCAGACTGCCTTTGAACTTGAACTGCAACTCTTCCCTGGGTCTCCAGCCTGTCAGCAGATTTTGAACTTGCATATACAAAATCGTGTAAGCCAATTCCTTAAAATATATATTTCTTCCTCTCTCTCTCTCTCTCTCTCTCTCTCTCTCTCTATACACATTTTCTTGGTTCTGTTTCTCTGGATAACCCTGACTAACATATGGACCTAGCTAACTAACACAGTGTGTGAATTATATCTCAAGTCTGTGTTAAAAGAAAACTTAGAAGGTTGCATCCAAAATGTTGACAGTAATTATTTGATGGTAGAATTTGTTTTAGGTTTATTTTTTGTTTAGTTTATCTGTACTTGTGACTTTTTGTGACCATGTGTTGTTTGTGTAATGATAACATAAGAAAAGATTTCCATTCAGAGGAATATTTAGAAGCAAGATTAGCTAATACAAAGCTCAGAGGACATGGGGGTATGGTGAGATGACATGTAACACCACTTATTATGAAGATTTGAACAGCACCCAAATCAAATTACATCTACTACAGCAAAAAAGAGAAAAAAAAAAGAAAGAAAGAAAAAAGAAAAAAAGTTCAACATGGAACACAGCTATGATATAGCTACTAACACTCTTCCCTAGAATATATGTAATACAGGAATTTTATTTTTCCTACAAAACCTATTTTTTCTGCCATTTTCAGTTATTTTTTCATTCAATAAGCTAGCAAGCTTTTACTGAACATGTGCTGTGTCCAAGGACTGCACTACATGCCGGGGATTGAAAGCAAACAGACTCATTTCAATTAAGAAGTGTACACTTGACCGGGCGAGGTGGCTCATGCCTATAATCCCAGCGCTTTGGGAGGCTGAGGGGGGCGGATCACTTGAAGTCAGACCAGCCTGGCCAACATGGTGAAACTCTCTATCTCTACTAAAAATACCAAAATTAGCTTGGCATGGTGGTTCGTGCCTATAGTCTCAGCTCCTTGGAAGGCTGAGGCAGGAGAATTGCTTGAACCCGGGAGGCAGAGGTTGCAGTGAGCTGAGATAGTGTCACTGCACTCCAGCCTGGGCGACAGAGCAAGACTCCGTCTCAAAAAAAAGCAGTGTACACTCTAGTGGAGGGGACAATATGGTCCAATGTGATAAGGGCTCCCATGGAGAAGGCGAAGAATGCTGTTTGTGCACAGGAGAGAAGCTGCCAGCCTACAGGGGATGGAGATGGGAGGAGAGGCTTTTTAATCCTTAGGACAACCCTGCAAGCTATAATTGTTACTCCCATTTTATAGATGAGTAAACTAAGTTTCAGAGAGCTTAAAAAATTTGTCCAAATCTCTCAAGAAGTAGAAGAAATGGATTTAAGCACAATTCTGACACTAGAGCCTATATTCTTTCCACTATACCACATTCTGTGTCTCTAATGCATTGTTGAGTGGACAAGCAAGCAAGTAGAATACACTGAAATAGAACCAATTTCGTTTTTACTTTGAAGTAAGGATGTAGCTTTGTAGATGCTATATGGTTTGTTTTAGTCTTAACTACCTTGTTCTGCTCTTTTCACTAATTCTTGTAATTGCCAATAATAATAGTAACAATAGTTAACATTTATTGAGTGCTTCCTGTGTGCCAGATACTATACTTGGAGCCTAACAAAGTTCTCTTAATCAATCCTCGTAACAGCCTGATAAGGTAGGCTGTGGTGGTGTTCCTATTTTATAATCAGGGAGACTGAGGCTTCAAGAGTTATCTGGCAAGTGGCAAAGCTGGGATTTGATCCCAGATCTCATTCCAAGAGCAAGTTTTTAACCATTTTGCTGTAGTACCCCAAACCAGACAACTGGCAGCCTCAAAACTCATTGCTGCTTGCTGGATATTTTTTAATTAGAAGGAAATCCTGGAAAGTAACTGATATTCCACATCACAAGAGATGATCAAGAAGTTCTCTTCTGTCTCTGGACCTCCTTAAGAGAGTTTCAGTGATTGGGCTCTGGAACTCTAGGTTGTTCTGAGAGACAGACACTGGTGGGTGGGATGTTTGGATTTGGGACCAAGGGTAACAAAATGGAGCCTTTTGCAGATTCTGTCTGGATAGCGGCTCTTGCGTCCCATCCCACTGAAGCTACTCATACCCTCCCCTCTCTAACTCTCCCCACAGGAATCTGGTGGCCCCTTGAAGGGCTGTACTCTGTAAACAAACCAAGCAGCATCCATAATGATAAACCACTAGGGAGGGTTTGGAAGGGGTGGAAGAAAGAGCCAGTCATGCTTCCTTAGCCAGTACAACCCTTTGCTGCCCACTGACTGTGATGCTCTTTTCCTGAATCTGCAATAGGAATGAGCTCACACAAAGGGCAGGCAACAGAGACAGCCTGTCCTGTAGCCCTGTTCCCGGGGCTCCAGGTCCTGGGGAATTTCAGGCAGACAAAAGGAAGGAGAACAAGCCCATGGCGAAGGCTTTGGTTGAGAGCAAGAGAGAGAAACACCCACAGATCCCCTAAGCTTCGGTGTCAGGTAGATCCATCCAGGACACAGGAAAAGATAACTTTCAGGATGTTGTTTTCTACCTGTGGAAGTAAGTGCTCACCCTTTATCTGACTGACCCAGGTTGGACTTCCACCAGGGTAGCCCAGAGGCTATGGAGCTTAGATTACAGGACTATGTCTGACTTTGGGAGGCAGGGACAGGGGTGTGATAAGCCCCTGCTTCAGAGAACACTTGAACGCTGTGGCAGAGGTAATGAACATCACAGAACCCCAGTTCCCTGTTGATGGGGACAGATGTATTCTCTGTTTTGGTGTAGGGAGAGTGAGGGGAGAAGAAACTTATCCCACCTCTGATGTATCTGTGGAGCATCACAGTACCAGGCTGTGAGCAGGTCAGAGGCGAGTTTTAGGCATTGGTGCATTCTTCACCTGATGCCCCTGCCCTAACGTGGTTCCCCTGCCCAAGGCAGGTAGAGAACTCTGGAATCTATAGGAGGCTCTACTTCATGCAGACAAAAGAGATGAAAGAGCATTTGGTGTAGCATCTGTGGGCTTGGCCTGGGTCTGGCAAGTGGTAGTCTTCCGGGCATGGTGTGAGACTCTTGGGGCACATCTTGGGCACTGAGAACTGTGATGACTTTGGACAGCGAGGAGCTGTACCCACCGAGGGGTGGTGAGAATGTGGCCTCCAGGGAGGGCGAAGCCTCCAGTGGCAGCTCTGCTGGCTTGGGAGGGGGCCCAATGTAGTCAGAACAGGTAAGTGCTCAGCACCCAAAGCCTGAAAAAGGAACACTGGGGACCAGGACCTGTGACACCATCTAAGCTGGGATACAGGACACTGTGCCAGCCTGCCCTGATTAAGACAGAGGGGTTTGAACTAGGACATGACTGGTGTTCCTGAGACTAATAAGGATCAGAAGGCTTTGTTTGCTGATAATCCATTGCACCTGATGCTTTCATAGCTTTCTTTTTCCTGGATACCTGTTTAGATATCTCAAAATCTATTTTATACTGCAGGCGGGGATTAATGGAACAGTCCTGGTAAGTGGGATGATTTATTCCTAGAAAACATTTACTGAGTCTGACTAACTGACAGCCTGTTGGTGTCCTACATTTTCACAACATTTAAATGAGGGATGGTAATGATCAATGTTGTGTACACAGTATTAGTATTTGTTGAATAGATATATAAGCACACATACAAATCAGTTTAATTCAACAAATACTTGCTAGATGGCTAATAAGTGCCTTCATGGGAATTAGTGTCTGATTTTGTGACTTAATTTATTGACAGTGACATAGTAAGAAATATCTTTTATGTTGTGACTAATACATACACACACACACACACGCACACATCACACACACACACAACACCGCAGACTGCAACAAAAATCTTCATGATAACTTTTATCTTACTGAGGTGAAATGCGTTCTGATATTTTTCTATTCTATTTCTTTTTGCTATTTTTTTTAAGCTTGATTGAAAGAGGCTGGGTGTGGTGCTCACACCTGTAATTCCGAGCACCTTTGGGATGCGAGGCAGGGGATCACGAGGTCAATGAGATCAGGACCATCCTTCTCAACCATGGTGAAAGCCCTGTTTTCTACTAAAAATAGAAAATTAGCTGGGCATTGGTGGGCACACCTGGAGGTCCTACTACGTCAGGAGGCTGAGGCAGGGAATCGCTTGAACCCTGGAAGACACGAGGTAGAGTGAGCCAAGATCGTACCACTTGTACTTCCAGCCTGGTGACAGAGCGAGGACTCCATCTCAAAAAAAAAAAAAAAAAAAAGTGCTAATGAAGACCCACTGATTGGATTTTATGATCCATCCGTGAGTCAGAGTCTGCAGTTTGGAAGACACTGGTGATACATGAAGTTACTGAATTTCTAATCTCATATTTACCTGGCTAAGAGTTGAGGAAATGAATACAGAAGCTGGTGATTATGGTAGATGCTCACTCACTTCCCAGTGTCATATACAAATGTGTCTATCAGTGGAGCTAAGTGACCAAGAAGGAAAAAAAATGAGTGACTTCTCATTGAGCCCAAAGGAAAGTAGGGAATCAATACTTTTTCTTTTGGCTATCTTCCCACAAACTTGAGATCAGCATGGTAGGTGATGATGAATGTCTGTGTCATAACTGAAAACAAAGAAATGCTACCCCCCTGATTTACGAATCCTTAATTAAAGAGTTTAGAACATGTGTGATTGTTAACCAAGAGAAAACACATCTGAACAAACCCCTTGAAAATACGATTTCAACTCCCAACTAAACATCTCATTTGCAATATTAGGCAAAACCAGATCGTTTTTATAGTTAGAGCTGACACTGTTGGAGCAATCCAGAAGATGCTAGTTTTGGAGAAAGTCTCTGATGTTAAATCAGATTTTTAGAATTCTGACTCCACCCCATCAAGGACTGACCACTCCTGCCTTGTTATTTCCCCCTTCACCTTTATATATATTTTAAAAATGATTACACCTATGACATCCTATTTCTTATACATTACTAGCTTACAAATTTTTCTCCCTCTCAGATTATAAACTTGCAGATAAGAAATTGTTTCTTCTACGTCTTTATATTCCCAGTGCTAGGCACAGAGTAAG